CTGTAAACATATCCAAAAATCGTTATATCCAAGCCAGTGTCTGCTCGCCGGGCCTCCCATTTTCCTTTGACCCAAACCACGCTTCTAATTAGCTCTATTCCCATCTTTGGCCGGCGGCTTTTTCCCGATGGTTCTGTACTATGAACGCCCGGATTTGCGGGCCAATTTCGGCTAGTCGCTCGCAAATCAGAGATGGAGCCCGGATACGGGTGACGTGTGATATAAAAAACTAATTTTCTCTCACTAACTTCTTTAGAGATCTTTCAGACATCTTATTTTATGTTATTGGCCCTTTCCGCGGTTGACAAGGTGTCGACACCCGGAAAATCACCTTGAATTGAGTGCATTTCACCGCGGTGGTTTTTTTGGGTGGAACGGGCCGTTGCTGCTGTTCTGTGGGGTGGATTTTGAAGGGTAATAGGCCAACGCAAGGGGCTTTTCCTGTTTTGTGCTACGGGCCGGCGGCCGTTTCTTCCTTATTGGGCGCGTTGAAGCGCGAATTTTTTGGCGGGGCGGAGCGAGACGCGACGCTTAGGGTTTATTAAAGGTAGTTCTAGTTTTTCGGATCTGGTTTTTTAACGGAGGGGGGGGGGAACAAATTTTGTTCTGTGTCCCTGAGGCGCCATTTAAATATAGTCTAAGCTAAGCGATTTACGTTGTTTTATAGATAACACCCAGAATTTCGCTTTTCGGTCAAAATAAGGATGAAAACATTGTCAAAATTGAGAATTTTTTTTTAATTCTTAAGGCTTTTCTCATCACTTTTTGGTAATAGAAAATTTGTAAAACCTTACAAAAATCGTTTATCTTGAGTGGTATGGCGCTTAGAATAGATAAAGGAAGCTACCCCCCCCCCGCTAACGAAACAGTACCACCTTTTTAAAAGCTCCCAAAGCTGAAAATCCCAAAATCATTGTTGCCACCAGTTAATAATATAAATCCTATCCGCCCCCTTTACCTCTCCCCTCTTCCAGTACAAATTTTTCCAATTTTCGGCCAAATACCGCGAAAATGCGCACACCCGGGGCAGACCAATCGAATCCCCCCAAACAGCCCGAGAAACACAGCAGCTAATATACACCTTGAAAAAGGCAAGATGGAAAATGAGTAGCCGAATGGCAGAACAATTACCGGGGAAACCCCCCGGTCGACAGCAGCACACCAACTATCGACACCGCCTTCGAGCAGGTGTCTGTCACTGCGCCCGCTAAGCAATTTCACGCTTTTTCGACCTTATATTTTGGAAGGCTGTATTTTGTTGTGTTTCGCGTTTACTCATTCTCAGTCTCATTTTTCATCGGCATAAACTCTTCTAAAATTTTAAGTCAATTTTAAAGAACCTCGTTTGTTATTTTCTCCTTCTCGTTTTCATTTTTATTTTTGCTTTTAAGGTGGATCAATTCGGATGCCATTAAAGAAACTGGCAAGGCAGCCAGGGGCTTATTCTTTATCGATTTCCCGCGACACACCAACGCGCGCGCGATTCCAGTTCGTAACGGAAACGGTCCTTCGGCAGGCGCAAAGCCTACCACGTGCGTTGCGTGACGCGGCCGCGAAATATCGTTTTTGGAATCAGGGATTGACCAAAAATTTCCATGCCTTGTTCCTTCCTTTAAAAAACGTTCGTATTTCGTTCTTTTGTCACATAGAAAACTACAGTTTTAAAACGCGGGCACCGGAAACCAAAAATATTCGAAATAAATTTAATAGAAACTATTTTTCATTGAAAAATACCTTTGTTTGTTGCTCCTAATTGCCCCGGTTTCAAGCCGCCCCTCCATTATTTTTGCTGACAACGATTCTTGGCCCCGGCGGCTGCGCGGGCCCACTACAAATGTGTGAGACGGGCCGGCCAAACTGCGCACGCCTCTGGAAAACACGGAAATGCGCCTGCTTTTTCAAAGTGCAAATTGCCAATGAGTCTAATCTTGGCCTAAATGTTTTATCCTTTTATCGTTTATCAATCCCTATGGATTTTTCCAAGCCGCTACACGCAACGCGCCTAAAAATCGTCAGAATTACCGCCTAGGTAGGCTGCGTTTCGAGTGCGTTGCGTGTTGCGTGCGAAAAATTCTTGGTTCTGTCCCCCCTCCCCCTTTATGCACTTCCCGAATCGAAAATCAACTTTTGAGGGGATCAGCCCGGGATACTTGTACATATCAACTTTTGAGACGGATTATAGGGCCATCCCTAGTGTCTAGATACCAGAATGGGCCTAGGATAAGCCCCTCTTCTACCTCCTCATCCATCCATCCACTCCGGAAATTCCCCGTGCAAACAGCCATGGGCATTGATCGGATATAGATGGGGATTTTGGGGACTGGGCCAGTTGTTGGAGTTTTCTGTTCAACGGCTAGCAATTCCTATGAAAATGGTTGGGGGGCGTGAGACAAATTTTCCCCCTAGTCCGGGAATCCCAGCAATGTATCAGGATTTTGGTAATGTTTTTAATAGGATTTAACCCTTTTTCAAGTGAAAAACTATCAAAAAATTGCAATAATTTTAAATTTTGTATAAGATCGGTCCGTTTTGTAGAAGAAACTGATTTTTAAGAAAAAAATGGTTCGAGCCTTTACATTACATTACTTTTAGCAATAGTAAAAACGGTCTAGAAATAGTTTTTCTATTTATATTAGAAAAATTCGATCAGCAGGAAAAATTTCGTGCTCCCCGATAATGCAAAGCACCCGAAAATCCATACTTTTTTGAGCTTTCGTATGCTCATTCTCCTTTTTCCTCGAGTTACGCTCAAAAGTACCTCCCAATTTCCAGAATCGCCTCCACGACGCGCCCACGCAAAAGAGGACGTCTACGGGTTCCTGTTTGTAGAAGACGGGCTATGGTTGTCGCCGTGGCCACGACGATATCCCGGATCGAATGAGCCTCAGCTCGGCCACACCGCCCACGCCAACAGCCCTTGCACCGCCCGGTGAACGGCTCTCCATCGTTCGTGCGTTTTTTTGCCAGATTTGAGTTGCTAGTTACCAAGTTGCCAGTGGCCGTTTAAGCTCGATATATAGAATTTTTTCATGATTTTCGTAGGATTTAACTATATTTTAAGCATAAACTCCTTTTCCAAAAAATGTGGAAAGCTTGAAAAATCCTGAATTTGGATCATTTAGGCGCACAAAAAAAATGTCTCAAAGTATTTATTTTCATTGAAAATTCATGGGGGTTTTGTGGTGAAACCCCGCGCCGAAACAATGGGGTTTTCCGCCGCGAAAATGAACTACAAAAACTCCAGGTAATACGACCTAAATTCCGAAATCGAGCACTATGCCCACGACTGGGACACGTCGGCCGAGACGGACAAGCTGTTCCAGGATGATGCCGTCTGGATCATCACCTCATCCTTCATCATCTTCACCATGCACTCTGGTGAGTAGATTTTTGCGTGTTAAATTTAAACAACTTTTAACTTTAAATGTTTTTAATTTTTAACACTATTTGACTTTAAATCGGAGTCGCTCCTTTTTGAAAGCCGGAAAAATACGACTTTTCGAAACTTCCACTCCTTTTAGGCTTCGGCCTGCTCGAGTCTGGCAGTGTCTCGGCCAAGGACGAGGTCAACATCATGGTCAAGGTAAGTTTAAACACCGTAGACTACAAATTACACATCCGCCCCTGCTTTGAACGTTGTTGAGTGGTGTTCGGCGGTGTCTCGTACTAGACCATCGGCTTTGGCTTGTCTTTGGCGACTACGAGCGTTCCGGAACTCGATTGTTGGATTTGGGAAATTTTTCTACGATCCGTCAAGGTTTGTCGGTTTTTTCTGGCGAATTATCCTTTTTTAGGGCTGAAACGTCGGTGAATGTGGAGGGCTGGGCGTATGCGTCGTTTCTTTTCCGGCAGCTTTCATTAGACAACGACGGCTTCCTACGATAGTATCAGGTCAATTTTTAGTTTTTTTTTGCGGTCGATTAGGTAGGTGTTATGAATATATACATTTTTATAAATAAAGCAATTCGAGGGAAATTGCAGTCTTTTTGTGCCCTTATTCACATTTTTTTCAGGCGCCGTCGCAGAACGAGCAAAATTGAAGTCCCTGCATCTTGTTAGGATGTCTCGTAATTTATGATTCGGGTATGGATTTTTAGTTTTATGGTCCTTTTATCTATGCTTTTTTATTTTACACACTAGTGTAAAATTTTCGTTTTCTTAGGCCCTACCCGCCCACTGGATCTGGGACTCAAAAGGGATTTTCTTCCAAGCTCGGCGTCATCGATTTTGCCGGATGTCATGGTGGTTTTAAGGCTTTGGGAAAAAGTTTAAAAGTTTGAAAAGAACATGTATAACTCTAGCTTTCAGTCCATATTGGTCGGCGGTAATTAGTCGGATGTCGACGCCTCTAACGGTGCTTTCAGTGCCGAATCGATCAGAAGAGAGCGTCTCGGAGATGGAAGGCGCCTGATCAACCGCGCGATAGTGAAAAAGGCTCTTTTTCTTGAATAAACACTGTTAAGAACTTTTACTTTTGTGGCTATTCGGGATCAACGCCGGATCGGGGTGAAGGGGATCGCTAAATGGGAGATGGCGATTGGGGCCAGGTTCGTCGTGCAATAGCGTGCTAGGAAGCAAAAAAAATATGAAAGACTTACTTTTCAAATGGCAATATTTTTAGGTGCTAAATTAGGTTCAGCATCGCTATGGATTACAGCCCTATCAGAGATCGGCCGTAAAAATGATCATGGCCTCAATCGGCGGCGGTTCCACCCTCGATCATATCAGTTTTGGTAAAACGAAAAAGTTGCAAGTAAATCCCTCTGATCAACGGCATCCTGTCGAGCATCGTGTCAATTACGGCAATGTGCTGCGAACGAGGCCATGGCATGCCCTTTTCTCATTCCATCGTCATGGGCATTTCCATTCTCATCCTGCCGGTGCTTGATAGTCAGCTTGGGTCTGCAGAAATTTTATGCGCGTTTTTACACTCGAAAAAATATGATCATTTCAATCAGGTTTTAGGCTTCACATCATTGATCCGGTTGGGACTAATTCAATCATCCAATATCGTCGATATGGGGAATGTGTTATTGTCGGGATTTTGCCGAGCAAGATCGATTTTTGTAGTTGCGGAAAATGGGGTTTTCCTCAGTCTCCGTTCTCTGAATAGCTTCAAATCTGGGGGCTGGGGCATTTTTTGCTTTTTGGCTGGCTTTGATGAATGATAAACTTTAATCGTTTTTCATCTGGCTTTCAGCCTCTTTTTAGTTTCCTAAAATAACCCCTGATATTTTCAGCAATCCACTTCAACCAACCAAGCTGGACCTCTGGCGGCGGTGGTTTCCATCTACTGGTATCCAGCTGCTCGCACCATTAAGAAGGTCGCCCACAGCAACCACTGGGCTCCTCGCGCTATGGGCAAGCGCCAGATTTTTTTATACTTTTTCGCCGTTTAGCTAATCGACAAGTCCCCGCTTGGGGCTTCGGGCCTGATTACGAGGAGCAAAACGGCGCGGACGTGATTCGAGCACAGCTCAGCTGGGCACGAACATCGCCTGTTATGTTCGTCGAGAAGCTCAGTTATCAAAGTTCAAGTTGCCAACTTTTCTTAATGGGGTTTGGGGTCGTCCTGGTTTTTTCCCAGGAGTCCAGAAAGCAGTGGTGTTGGGCAGGTTTTTAGCAAATGTCTATCCTGGGAAAAGGAAATATCCAAATTCTGTAAAAATCACAAATTTTGTGGGTAACTGGGTACTTTTTTTGTCAATCAATGCTTAAGTTTTCAATCAAAATTTCTGAAATTTTTACATTTAGCTATAGTAAAGCAAGATCAGAAACCCTTCCCCTTATAATATAGGGAACAATGGACTGTAATTTAAAAATGGACCTGCCAATGATAACTCAAAAGCACTAGCTTTTACATACTTTAAATTTCTATGTCATATCCGCTTTTAAAAAGCACAGCCCCGGTCGAATGACGCGAATACAGGGTGTCCCCAACTAAAAGGTCACGCTGGCATTTCGCCGTTCCAAATCTGCTCTGATCACCAAATTTGGGAACAGAGGCTGCGGAAGTGGATTTAAAATGTTCTACAGAAACTTTCAGCCCGATCGGTACAGTAGTTTTCGAGTTATAACAAAAAATACTGCTTCTTCAACACCTTTGCTTCCATTTTCGGCTATCTTTTGGACTTTGCATCAATTACCATCATTATTTCG